GGAGCATGATGCCCTCCTCCCGATAACATGTCCAAATTATGTGAGTCGATGAAGTCTTGCCATCCACGCGTTTAAGGAGCATCCCAGCAGTTCATCTTCCAAGACCGATTTGTTGGTTCAAACGCGTTAACTGTAAAATGTAGAACTGGAGAATGGTGCAGAGGTGTTTGGAACCACTGAACATAACAAAGCATGTTGCTAACGGGAATCCTCGAAGAGAGAGAGGGTGGCAGAAGAGGAGGAGGAAGAGGAGGATGAAGGAAATACAAGCTGAAAACAGTTCCTTATTTAATAGGAAGTATCTAGTCAATGGTCCTGGGAGCTCAAGAACAAACAGACCTTGAAACTTAGACGACAACAAACACCACGCCTGGGTCCATTGTGGTCACAGTGCCGAAAACCCACGGTCTGGAAAACCAGACAACTTTGTTTAAGGCGCTAGACAGCGGCAGAGGTCTAAGAGGAGGAGCAGAGGGAAATTCTCAACCAAGCAACGCTTCCAGAAGGAAACACAGGACATCTTTAAAGTGACCAAAACAAAAACAGAGCAAACCAACAAAATAAACACACCCCTCTCAACCTACAAGTCTATATCCAGTAAAGTAGCCTTTAAAAATAAGAAAAAGAAAGACATTGTTTGGCCCTTGGGCCAAAGAAGAAATCACAAAGATTTAAATAAGAACATGTTTTAAAATGAATAATAATGAGAACTCAATTGATCATACTTTGTGGAATGGGTCAAAGCAGTACTTAGAAGGAAGTTCTTTAGTTTTTTTTAGAACAGAAGAAAGATTTAAAATCAATGATCTAAGGATTATCTTAAAATGCTGAGAAGAAATTAGAAAAGTAAGCCAATGTTCATAGAAGACAAGAAGTAATCAAGATAAAAGCAGAATTCAGTAAATCCGCAAACAGAGAAATAATACAGACAAAAATCAGTGTCATCAAACACTGGCCCTCAGTCTGATGCACTTTCTGTAAAGCCTCCAGACAGCCACCCTACTTGATGAAATATTGGACACATTCCCTTTAAAATCGGAGAAGGCAGAGATAGCTTCTCTTAGGATCAGATTCAGTAATCTTCTGGAGGTTTTTTCCAAGGCAAGTAAGGGAAATGGAAGAGATAAAAGTTAGAATGACAGAAACCACGTGGTCTTTCTGTGCCTATTACAGGATTGTGTACATAAAAAATATTAAACTACAGAAATCTACAGGGCTGGGCATTGGATTGGAAAAGGTTACACGATATGAAGTGTACATACCAAAATCCAATACATTTTTACATACCTGTAAAATATCAGATATTATTGTTAAATTTATAATTTATAGCATATTAATATCTGCTGTTGTTATATATTAAGTGCTAAATAGTTAACATATATACTAATTAATTATAAGCAATTTAATATTGTTTACAATGTCATAAAAATAAAATACTTAGGAGTAAATCTATAGAATACTGTATCATAATCCTGAGAGAAACTGAATAAGACTTAGAGAAACAACGTTGATAGATCAGATAATTTGATATTGCTGATATCCATTTTCCTCAAATTGATCTGGAGCTTCACCAGAACTCAAAGTCTCAGGGACTTCTTTGAGAATTTGACAATGGCTTCTAACATCAATGTGCAAGTCTAGAGCACCTAGAACAGCAACAACAAAAACTGGACAAGAAGGAAAATGGTGGACAACTTATACAATTAGTTTTCAAGGATTGATATTAAGCTTCAGTGATCAATGCAGCGAGCTATTGGCCTTAGTGTAGTCAGATCATTAGAACAGAAGTAGAGTCACCAATAATGGTCACAGGATTTTTTGACAAATAGTAGCAAGTCAATAGGATGCAGAAGGACAACTTTTTAAAAAACGATGCTCAAACAGCTGGAGAACTATTATGGAAAGAAAATGAACCTTTATACAGGTGTTTGTGCTCCTGGGTTATCTTAAACATAGATTAATTATTGGTGGATCATAGATTTAAATGTACAAATTAAAACAAACATTGTGAGGAAGCAGATGAATTTCTTTCCAGCTTTGAAGTAGGCAAATATTTCTTACAGAGACACAGAAAGTACCAAATATGAAAAATTGATAAATTGCATCTATCAATTTTTAAGACTCTTGTTCACCAAAAGTTTGTGGAGCCCAGTTATCAGAAAGAATGGTGTCTTGGGTCTTAAAGGCTTGTTTTTACTTTTATTTATTTTAAAAATAATTTTATTCGGGGCTCATATAACTCTTATCACAATCCATACATACATCAATTGTGTAAAGAACATTTGTACATTCATTGCCCTCACCCTCAAAACATTTGCTCTCCACTTAAGTTCCTGGCATCAGCTGTTTTCCCCCTCCCTCCCCGCTCCCCCCTCCCCTAGTGAACCCTTGGTGATTTATAAATTATTTTGTCATATCTCACACTGTCCCATATCTCCCTTCACCCACTTTTCTGTTGTCCATCCCCCAGGAAGGAGGTTATATGTAGGTCCCTGTAATTGGTACCCCCTTTCCACCCCATCCTCCCTCTACTCTCTCAGTATCACCATGCTCACCACTGGTCCTAATGGGATCATCTGTCCTGAATTCCGTTTCCAGTTCCTAGCTGTACCAGTGTACATCCTCTGGTCTAGCCAGATTTTTAAGCCAGAATTGGGATCATGATAGTTGGGGGAGGAAGAAGCATTTAGAAACTAAAGGAAAGTTGTTTCACCCTGACTGACTCATCTCCTCCCTGCGACTCTTCTGTAAAGGGATGTCCAATTGCCTACAGATGGGCTTTGGGTCCCCACTCCATACTCCCCCTCATTCACGATATGATTTTGTTGACCTTTGATGCCTGATACCTCATCCCTGTGACACCTCACGATCACACAGGCTGGTGTGCTCTTCCAGGTGGGCTTTGTTGCTTCTGAGCTAGATGGCCGCTTGCTTACCTTCAAGTCTTTAAGACCCTAGATGCTTTATCTTTTGGTAGCCGGGCACCATAAGCTTTCTTCACATTTGCTTTTGTACCCATGTGTCGTCAGCGATCATATCAGGGAGGTGAGCACACAATGATATGATTTTTTGTTCTTTGATGCCTGATAACTGATCCCTTTGGCACCTCGTGATCACACAGGCTGGTGTGCTTCTTCCATGTGGGCTTTGTTGCTTCTGGCTAGATGGTCGCTTGTTTACCTTCAAGCCTTTAAGACCCTAGATGCTATATCTTTTGATTGTGGGGCTCCATCAGCTTTCTTCACCACATTTGCTTATGCACCTGCTGTGTCTTCAGCGATCGTGTCGGGAAAGTGAGCATCATGGAATGTTAGGTTAATAGAACAAAGAATTCTTGCATCGAGGGAGTACTTGAGTTGGAGGCCCAATGTCCATCTGCTACCTTAATACTAAACATGTAAATATTTGCACATAGATCTATTTCCCCAACCTCATATTTACATATGTACATGCCTTTATTTAGGCCTCTACAAATGCCCTTTGCCTTCTAGCTCTTTCCTCTATTCCTTTTACTTTCCTCTTGTCCCACTATCATGCTCAGTGTTCATTTGGGTTTCAGTAATTCCTCTCGGTTACATTACCCTTGATCATGCCCTACCAGGCCTCCTACACCCTCCTCACCACCAATTTGGATCACTTGTTGTTCCCTTGGCCCTGGGTTTGTTAACACCATGACAGTCATCTAAGTGAGACATCAACTAGGTCCACATGGAAGAAGCACACCAGCAGGTGTGATCCAAGGATTGTAAATAATATAATTCTAATATAAAGGAGGGAATGGTATCAGAGCTTAAATTGTAAACACTTGGTTTGTAGGAGACTATGGATGACAGTGGAAGCCCCCAATCCATTTTCAGGATCCACACATGGATAGTCTCCAGTGAATCACCTCTGATCATAGTTGAGGGATGTCAACAGACCTGCAGAGAGCATTGTAAAGTTGAGAAAGGTGAAAACGTAGTTAGGTCAAAATGTATTGTCTTAGCATTTGATCTTCATTTTGAGCTGTTTCAGTTAAAAGAAAAAAAGTGAAGGAAATACATGTGGATTAGTCTCTGGTAAATCTTCTCTGACTTTGGACCACAGATATAAATAGCCTTGCTAATATGAAGAATGCTTTACAAAGTGGCTTGTTGTAGATGCAATCAGGTTAAAATTTAGCACCCTATCATTGGATCTTGCTTATGATTCAGCTAGATGTGTTGTACTTTTTAAACATATTTTTTTTTTAAACATTTTATTAGGGGCTCATACAACTGTTATCGCAATCCATACACACATCAATTGTGTAAAGCGCATTTGTACATCATTCTCAAAACATTTTCTCTCCACTTAAACCCCCGACATTAGGTCCTCATTTTCCCCTCCCTCCCCGTTTTCTTTCTTTTCAATTCAGGTCTTATCTGTTTTCCTGTGTTTTCCTTGCTAGTTTTAACATATTTTTCAGTATATGAAATCCAGGATAGGTACATTTATAGAGATAGCAACTGGATTCATGGTTCCTTGGGGGAGGGTGTGGAAGCTTGAGGGGTGGGGAGGGCATCGGAATGAGGAACTAATAACGAGTATAAGAATGAAGAAAATGTCCTAAAACTGGTTGTGGTGATGATTGTGTAACTCTTCTTGAGGTGAATGAACTATTGAATTTTCTGATATATGAAATATATGCTAATAAAACTGTTGAAAAAGATAAAGATATCATTAAGAAAATGCATCAAAGAGCCAATGGGAGAATAAAAAGTTTCATTTCAACATGAGCATTCATGTAGGAGGTACAATGAAGATATTATCCTATATATAGTTAAAAACAATATATAAAACATTTGAATTACAGGCATAAACTTATAATGAAGAAATAAAGGAAAAATAACTGTAAACTCAAATCTTATACCCATCTTACAGTTTATAAGATGACAATACTTCCTAATTTAATAAATATATTTTAATGTAAGATTAATTTTTCTCAGGGTATCCTAATATTTTGAGACAGAATTCCAGGTCAAGGAAACATGCCTTTAAGTTTACTGCCTATTCTTAATAATGCATTTTTATCTGTTTGAATTGGGCAATCAGGAATTCTGTAAGTGAACTTTGATTTGTTAGTGGACAATCAAAATTTCAAAAAAAGGTTAAGAATACAGGAATAAAAATTAGGCCATGAGCAGCCCCAAACAACATAACAAGAAAGATAATCTTAAAAAATGTCCTGAAGATGTATGCATCAGATGAATATAAAACACACACACCAATTATTGTTGAAATGGCACTTTGTAGGACTGGGTAGCCTAGCAGATACAATGCCTCAATTACTTTTTGGTTTTCTGAGGGCTTAGTACTTGAAAAAAAAGCATAACAGATGTGTGCAGAAAAATCAAAAGAAAACCCTATACAAATGAGCAGATTCATCATGGATATGGAATCAAGATTGACATTCCAGAATGACATGAAACCTGTGACTCCCACAATCACAGAAGCAATAGCAAAAGTCACCCACAGGGAACACACAGGATGAGGAATTAACAGCAAAGAAACAATGAACATAGCTGCCGAGGCGATGATGACACTTCGAACGGTGTTCTCCACGATCACGGCATACTGATCAAAATATATGAAAGCATGGTTAAAGACCAAGAGGGGGACTTTACAGTTCTCAGCGATGCTGCGAAACTCTAGTAGCATATTCTTCTTCTTGGTTGGCGTAGAAACATCCCTGGTCTGAATAAAGGCCCGGGATGAAATGATTTCATTTGATAATGAAATATTAACATCGTACACATAACTTGGGAAATCCTTAAAAAACAGAGGAATGTTGCTTATAAAAGTCTCCTTATCATTGACATCTTTGTTTCTTCCTTTCAAATACTGCACGTATGTGTTTAACCAAAACTCGGTGAGATTGCCAGCCACGAACTCACTGTTTTCCAAATCTTTCAAGCATCGTTCCAATTTTTGCCTAACCTCTTTATTCCAGTAGTCCACCTTTTGGGTAATGACAGCCATAACTATGGGGCCATAGTCTGAAAAATATTCTTCTTCTATATCAAAATACGGTCTTATGTAGGAATTGTCACTTGCCAGATTTCGAACATCTAAGCCTTCCTGCACGTGGAAGCACCCGTATATACTGGTCATGAGATACAAAATATAGAGCACCACTACCAAAATCTTGACCTCAGTGCTTGTGAGAAAAGGGCCAAAATAGTCTCTAAAGAACAAGTCGAGTGGGTGTGTGCCGGTGCCATCTTCATCGGGGAGAGACCCGCAGGGGGCACAGCAGGACTTTTTAAAAGAGGACCACTTTTTGTCAGGACTATCTGCCTTCTTCAACCAGTGTAGACAGATGACTTCTCTCTTCCCATCCAAGGCCAAAACTGCTCCAAAACAGGTGATGTTATAAACATAGCAAAAGAGCAGCGTTGTTCCCGTGTAGAGTGAAAAGTACTGTATGGACTTGAAAGAGGTCATCACTCCTGTATAGAAGGCCAGGACATTGGTGATGGTAGTGACTGTAATGGACACTGCTGTCTTTGAGTAGACCCTGGACATCCGATGTTTTATGCTATCCATCAGGTTGGTCTTCTGCCAGGCAGAAATCATGATAAACATGTCATCAACCCCAACACCTGTAAAAAGAGAAACTGTGTATTCATCTGGAACAATACTGACAGGCATTTCAACAGATTGATTCAAACCACTCCCTGTTCATCTAGTACGGCCTTATTTATCCTGCCCGGTCTCTGCTTGGATGCCACCTTCTCTGCGGTGCTGCTTCTGACGCTCTCTGAATCCATAACCAAATCTACCACTCTCTTCTTGACAACAACTCCGTGCTTTGCACACAGCACAGTATGTTCCTAGTAAACAATGTGTTTTTACGATGGCATCAGGAAAACTACTTGACAAGTGGAAGCTGAGGAAGGATGAACAATGTGTGTCTCTGATTGCACTAAATTGCTCCGGAGGTCTTTTTTCTTACAATCAGCTATTTCACGTCAACCTACAAACATGCCGGCCAACATGCTATTGCTTAACATACAAGCTGGCTTTATGCACTCTACAGCTAGCACCTCTCTCTGTGCTATGATCTGAGAGGTACGGTACAGTTTGCAAAGGGGCCCTCGTTGCATAGTAGGTTTTAAGTTGGGCTGTTACCTGCAAGGTTAGCAGTTCAAACTGCTGTCCACTCCTTGAGAAAACGATGATGCTGTCTGCTCTTGTGAAGATGGTCAGCCTTGGAAAACTCTATAGGGGAAGTTCTACTCTATCCTATAGGGTCACTATGAATCACAATCTACTTCATGGCAATGGGTGGATAGAGTTTACACACACGCACACACACACAGAGTTTTCCTTCGAGTCTGTTTTAAAAACAATTTTTAACAGTTTTATTGGCACATAATCCACTTATCACTACAATTTTAGAACATTTTCTTCTTTTACTCATCGTTATTACTTCCCCTAAATTGTAGTAATGATTGTACAACTCTTCTTGGAATGACTGAACTTACTGTATGCTAAGTGGATTATGTGCCCATAAAAATTTTTTTTAAACAGACTAGAAGGAAAACTCTGTGTGTGTGTGTGTGTGTGTGTGTGTGTGTGTGTGTGTAAACTCTATCCACCCATTGCCATGAAGTAGATTGTGATTCATAGTGACCCTATATGATAGAGTGGAACTTCCCCTATAGGGTTTTCCAAGGCTGACCATCTTCACATCTTCCATGTCATACCCCCAAAGGAACCATTAATTGTCTCTATAGATTTACCTATACTGGATTTCATATACCTAAAAACATACAACCCTTCCCTCTCCAAAAAACAACCAAAAAACCTAACTAACAACAATAACTAAATAAAGCCGAGAAAAACCTCAATTGAAAAGTGGAAAGAGAACAACTTTAAAATAGGTTAAAAGGACCTCAAAAGACAAAGTGTTCAATGTTGACCTCTCTACATGTGCCATAATCACTTCCCAATGCACTTTGCACGATGATTTCAAGGCTCGTGAACACCCCCCTGCTCTCTGGTGAGAGGAGATTCACCAGAGGCCTAGTCCACATGCATTTCACCTTCACTTTTTCTTTGTTGTTGTTGTTGTTAATGGAAACTACTTTTAAACAGGTCAAAGGGGAGATAAAATATTACATTTTAACATAACTGTATCTATTATCATTTTTTAAAAAAATATTCTCGGATAACAAGGCTTTGCACATCCCTGTGGTGGGAGTGGATTCACCAGAGGACTAATCTATGGGTGGACTTTTGGATTTCCACTGTCATCCATAGACTTCTGCAAACCAAGTGTTCACAATTTAAACTCTAATAGCATCCCCTCCTTTAGATTTGAATTATATTATTTACAGTCCTGGGATCGCACAGGCTGGTGGGCTTCTTCCATGTGGACTTAACTGATGCCTCGCTTAAATGGCGGCTTGTTTGAACACAAGCCTTTAAGACCATAGATGTTTTTCTTTCTGAGAGCCAGGCACCATCTGGTTTCTTCACCATACTTTGCTATAGCACTCATCTCTTCAGGGACCTCGAGGAGGATGAGGATCGAGCAGGGCCATGCCATCAGAACTAGTTGTTCTTAGATTGACACTGTGTGAGCTCCAAATCCATCCGTATATCTGTGGTTTGTATAGGACTCTGGTTCACTGTACAATCATCATTGTCATTTTATGATAGAGAGGCTTATAAATTATCCACTTGGTGCAAAAGTTAATTCTATTGATAATGTCATTATTTTAGCCAATGGTATAGGAGTTTAAAACACTGCATCCCTGAAAAACAGCAGCAAAACACCTCATGTACAAACACCAAGATGAAAGCAGACTTCTGCTCCCGGGTCATGCAGTCTTGCAACCTGGTCTGCCAAGCAGTGTGGCAGAGAGGAAAGGAAAATGGACAATAACTAACTTGTACAGCTTGAACACGTAAGTGACTGGACACTCTTTACACAAACGATGATGGTTGGTGATAAGGCAAAGCTTTTAATAATATTCATTCACAATGGCAGAAACAGGCATACCAGATTAACACGTCATAATAAAGCAAGAAAAGCATTAAAATAGTAATATATGGCAGGCCCATCCCAATTGGGGGATCCTTGAGCAGCCTCAAGGCAAGAGATGTGAACCACAGTCTAACTACCTCCAGCTCTATACCCTTGGGATAGCAGTCCTCTGCTGCTTCTCACACTAGAAAGTTTCAACCTTAAGTTCAAGGGCTACAGGTAAGTTTGAGGTCGAGCCTAGTTGACTTGGTGGGGTTTTCACATCAAATGCTTTTGATGTGGCCTATGAAGGATGCTGTACACCTTGAAAGACAAGAGTCTAAAGTCTTAGTTGTCTAGAACATGGCCTGGCTCACCAAGAGGTGGCTAGAAACGAGGGCCAAATTCTCTTGTTTACCCACCAAGAGTCAAGTCTTGACTTCTCTGAGACATGTGTGATCCCCTCCCCCACATCTTGTAGGGTTTGATGATCACTCTGGTAAGAGTGTCTGTTGATTCTGAATGACCTGAGCACTATTTTGTATGGCAACTACGGCATGGTCATCTCCCTCTCATCTGGAAAACTGACCCCAGCTGAGGTGAGGTCAAAGTGGTTGTTTTTAAGATGTGCATATAGAGGGGGTGATGGATGCTAGGCAGGCTCTCTGCCACACTGCTTGGCAGACCAGGTTGCAAGACTGCATGACCCGGGAGCAGAAGTCTGCTTTCATCTTGGTGTTTGTACATGAGGTGTTTTGCTGCTGTTTTTCAGGGATGCAGAGGATTCCGTTGTGTGTACCAGAGCCTTTTTAAAAAATCCATTCTTCTACTGATGGGCATTTGGGCTCCAGCTTCTTGCTACTGTAAACTGTGCTGCAGTTAACATGGGAGAGCATGTCTGTTCAATGTTCTCTTATTTCTTTGGAGTATATGGGCAGCAAAGGTTGTGCTGGGCCATGTGGTATTTCTATTGCCTGTTGTTTTAGATATCACCATACCACTTTCCACAACAGTTGTATATATTTACAAATCCACCAGCTCTGTAGGAGTTTCCATCTCTCCTCCACACCTTCCCACCATGTGTTGTTCTCTGGTTTTTTGTTTTTAACTTGACTATCTTTGTGCATGTTAGACAGTATTTCATCATTGCTTGATTTACTTCTCCCAGATAGTAAACATGAACACTTCCTCGGGTGTTTGCTAGCCATTCAAGTGTCTTCCTTGGGGAATTGTGTATTCATGTCCCTTGCCCACCTTTAATTGAATTTTTTTGAGGTGTTGCAGAATTCTACAGGTTTTAGTAATTAGTCCTTTGTCCGTTATGTCATTGTTAAAAGTTTTTCCCCCCAATTAGTGAGCTCTTGTTTCACTCTTGATGTACTTAAGTGTTGTATTTTCAATAGTTCCCATTGTTTTCCACTGTGTACACTTCCTGTATTATATTTGGCATTCTATATATGCCCTACAATAGGACCCTTAAGTTTGTCCCAATTTTCTCATGGATGATTCTGATAGTATTTAGGTGTCTGGTTCATCTTGACTTCAGTTTTGTGCGTGAGGTGGTCCTGGTTTTGTGCACAGGTATGGGCCCTGTTTCATCCTCCTGCAGATGGAGGTACAAATTTTTCCAGCACCATTGCTTGAAGATGGTGTCCCTTTTGCATTTAATGTTTGATCCTTTATTGAAATTAAGTTGTTTGTAGCTGTATGCTTTTATTTCTGGGTTTTCTATCCTGTTCCATTGGCCTATGGGTCTATCATTATACCAGTTGGCTGTTTTGATACTGTGACTATGTAATAGGTTTTGAGATCGAGTGGTAGAATACCTCCTATTTTGTACTTCTTGGGAAGTTCTTTGCTTACCCTAGCCCTCTTCCCTGTCCATATGAAGTTGGTAATGATTCCACATCCGCCTCCCCCCCATTTCTTTAGGGAATGACATTGGAATTTGGAATGGAATTGCATTGTGTTTGTAGATTGCTTTAGGACATATTGACATTTTCACAATATTGTCTTCCTATCCACGAACACAGGCTATTCTTCCATTTGTGTAGGTCTCTTTCAGTTTCTTATAATATTCTGTAGTTTTCTTTATACAGGTCTTTTGTTTCTTTGGTTATGCTTATTCTTAGGTGTTTGTCTTTTGTGAGGCTACTGTAAATGGTATTGTTTCCTTGATTTTTTGTGGGGGGTCGGGGGGAGAAGGGGGATCTCTCTTCAGTGGTGTATAGGAATACTATATTTGTTTGTTAATCTTGCATCCTTCTATTTTACCAAATCCTTCCGTTTTTCCCAACAGTCTTTTTGTGGGGTCCCTCTAGTTCTCTTTCTATAAAACCGTATCTTCTGCAAAGAGCAAGAGTTTCAGTTCTTTGCCCATTTGTATTCCCTTGGCTTCTTTGTGTTGCCTAATGGTTGTGGCTAAGACTTCCAGCACAAGATTAAATAAGAGTGGTAATACTTGTCTAGTTTCTATTTTCAGGGGCAATGGTTTCAGTTTTGCCCCATTTAGTGTGATATTGGCCATTGGTTTTTCATTTATTGCCTTTATTATGCTGGTGTTTCCCTTCTATTCCTATTTTATTGAGTGTTGATATATGCAGGGATGTTGTTGTCATTTTCCTATGTTAGGTTCAACTTTGTTGTTGTATTGGTGGTGTTGTCCATACTCTTATGTTTTCTTTTGAGAGCCGCTTTCTGGTGCTGCTCTTCTGTCTGATGCTCTCAGGATTGTCTGCTGTTGTTATTCATCCCCTGTCCATAGTGATCTGGTTAATATTTTTTGTAATGCTTGTCTTGTTTTTATGAATTGCTTTAGTTTTCCTTTGTCTAGAAATACCTTTATTTCTCCCTACTGTTTCAGGGATAATTTTGCTGGGTGTAAGGTGCTTGGGAGGCAGGTTTTTGGCTTTTCTTTCTTTCAGTTTCTAAATGTCACTCTATTTTCTTCTTGCCTTCGTAGTTTCTGCTGGGAAGTCTGAGCTCATCCAATCAGTTTTCCTTTGTAGATGACTGTTCTTTTCTATCTAGTTGCCCTCAGGATTCTCTTTTCCTTGAAATTGGATAGTTTGACTATGATATGTCATGATTTTTTCTTTTTAATCGGTCCCATTTGAAGTTTCTCAGCTTCTTGAATAGCTATTTTCTCCTCCTTTGTGATGTTGGGAAGATTTTCTTCTGTGATTTTTCATACTATTTTCTCTGTAGAGTTTTATAATTTCTTCTTGTGCCAGGATCCTGTTGAGACATGGGTTGCTTCTCTTGATAGTGTCCCACATCAGTCTCAGGCTTTCTGCTGATTCTTTTGCTTCTGTTTGTTTGTTTCACTCACTGATTGTAGTCAGAGTGATTGTCTTCGAACGCATTGATTTCATGTTCCCTTTCTTACATTCTATTCCTATGTTCCTTAACTCTGTTACCTCGCTGTTTCTGTGATTCCTTGGGCTTAGGGAATTTAGTTTTTCCATTTCTTCCTCTGTTCCCATGAGTGTTCCCCACATCTCAACAGGACCTGAACATTATTCTTCTGAATTCTGTATCGGGTAGTTTCATGCCATCTTCAGAATACTTACTCCGTTGGGTTTGGGTGATTTGAATTGTTTGTGTCTGTTTTTCCTGTTTTTTTCCGGGTTGGTGTGGCTGACTACTGTTTCCTTGGCATCATAGTACAGCTATTAGTGGTGTGTGAGCTGCTGGGTCATGTCGAGGTGGTTGGCTCTGTGTAGAGACTTGGGAGAGGTCTCATAGGAGCTAGAAAATAGATGATCATGAAACGAAGAAACAAATAAAAGTTTAAAAAGAGAAATGGAGAAACAAAGACAGAGAGATAGGTAAGTTGGGTTGGGATGGGGAGGACAAAGAGTAAGAATAAAATAAAAGGAATTATAGTTATAATATGCCTGTAATAAGTTATAATAAATCTGTACTGGCCAACAAATTTGTATAAAAATGGGGAAATGCATTTTAAGGGGGATAATAAGAATTAGTAAGTTCCACTGGAATATATTCCAATGAGGAAAGAGTGAGACAGCAGAAAAAGATCAGGGGTGAACATGTAGGGAAACAAGGGACAAAAGAGACAAAAATCTCAGGTGCGGCCACTAATTTCTGTTGCTATGACAATGTGAATGTGGGCATGTCAGTTGTACTTGGTGGCAAGGGGCAAGGGGGTGCGGAGTGGAATCCCTTCTTCAATGAGTGCCGGGAGCTAAAGACTGCCTATTTTTGCCTGGGGGAAATGGGTATTCTCAGGAGGTTGGGCTGCACTGGAAGAGGAAGTGAGAGAAGATTCCAAAAATATAATGAGAGTATTGTAATGGAAGGAAAGTACAAAAACTGAAGAAAATCATGTAACATAGATGATACAATCACTTTGAGGATGGAGAGTCCTAATCTTGATAGTGTTATTATGTGAACTTGTGTGTTACATAGGGGACATAGGGCTAGTGCCGCAGTTCTCAACCTGTGGGTCACGACCCCTTTGGGGGTCAAATGACCTTTTCACAGGGGTCACCTGATTCATAACAGTAGCAAAATTACAGTTATGAAGTAGCAACAAAAATAATTTTATGGTTGGAGGATCACCACAACATGAGGAACTGTATTAAAGGGTCGTGGCATTAGGAAGGTTGAGAGCCACTGGGCTAGTGGGAGGGAAGGAAGGTACCAGGCACCAAAGCAGGAAAGGAGGTGGGAGGGAGAGGGAAAAAAGTGAAAAATGAAGCTTGGGACCTCGGTATGTCTGGACCAAGCTGCCCATGCAGAGCTATCTCCCAGAGGCCAGAGAGGTTGGGATGCTTCTGTGGCCGAGGAAAACTGGCTGTGCCTTGGGAGGAGCGGGGCTCCCAGAAGCGACTCACGCCACTGGTCAGGGGTTTAGGGGAGTCGGTCAGCGGGCAGTCTCTTCTCCCACTAGGAGAAGAGTGGTCTCGTTAGCGTCAAGGTGAGCTTCTTGCTGTCAGGAAGTAAGTGCAGGATACCTCTCCTAGAGGGCCTTGTCTGGGAGGTGCTGAGATCTTTGGGTGCTTGTTATCTAGCAGTTATCTTGCCCCAGCCTCTCTCATCTGCTTTGACACTCCAAAACCAGAACCAAACTCACTGCCATCTGGTGGATTTTCATACCTATTATACTATTATTGAAACTTCCTTTGCACAGGTGCAGTATTATCTTATTAACATGCATATATTCCTGAGATCAGAAATATGCATCAAAGTAAGTCCTCAAATCGTTTACTTATCATTGCTTTTCGGTAACTAGGCTTTTCTGTAATCATGCTTCACTGATCTGTTTGGCATAGTGTAGATATGAAAATGTCTGAGGACACTTTTAATTGCAGACTAAAAAAGGAGGGCTACCAAGAAGAAAGGGGTAGCTTGAGCGTGCCACCTCCATCAACTTTTCTGCTGGAACCGACACACCTTCCACTCGTCCAAACCTCTCTCTGTGTACTCACGCAGAACCTGTGCTTGGGCCAGAACTTCTGATCACAGTGTCAACTCTTTAAAATGGTCTTCTTGGATTACATGACAAAGTTGGGGGGAAGGCAATGGGAATCGCAACACAGCCCCTGCTTCAAACATTCTATGAGTAAGGCCAAGGTTGAAGGATTCATATGCACAAAGTCTGTGTAGATTGTCATAAGCTTAAGGATTTTAACTTTAAGGATTCAAATTGGGTTCAGCCTGGTGAAAGAGAAGATGCGTTTTTAAATGCCTACTATCATTGATTTAAAAAATACATTCCATTACTTACAGAACCTTGCTTAACATTGTTAAGCAATTGACTCAACATCAACTCATTTCTTGAGTTACTGAGACTGCATGGACACCCATAATCATAACACACACACACAGGCTTCAGTATACACTGAGTGATGTGTACATGTGTGTACTGGGAATGGGCCCTGAACATTTAGAATAAATAGACCGACACCCAGCACACAGTTCATCTACTACTCTCTCAAAAACCAGCAACAAACCCAAATCACTACCTTCAAGTCAATTCTGCTCCTGGTTTGACACTCTGGGACAGGGTCGAACTGTTCCTGAGGGTCTCTGAGACTGTAACTCTTTTGGGAGAGTAGAGAACCTCATCTCCTCTCTTTCATGGAGCGGCTGGTGATTTTGAACTGCTGACCCTTGATACTCGCAGCCTGATGTGAAACCACTGCGCCACCAGAGCGCCACTCCCTTCTCCAGGAAACCAAAGATTATTTCCTTCCATGTTGTTTGCTTTCCAAAATGTAAGCACCTTTGCTTTCTCATGCCAAATATACATTAATTCAAAAAGGGCAGAAAGATACAAAACCAAATTTAAAACAATGACAGTTCTAGCTTTCAGGGAATTTTTGTTAGTATTTTGGTGTATAATCATCTTAGAACTTGTTTTATGTTAATATATACACATTTATTTCTCTCCATTTCAAACATTTTGTTTCTAACCAGCATTGTCCTTTAACATTATATATCTACTCCTTAAGGATTGACTAAGTATTTTAATATGCTACATTTAACTAGATTATCCTCAGTATTTTCCACTCTGAATCACATATTCTACATATGGGACACTTGGCTAATTACTAGTATAAATTCCTAGAGTGGAACTGCTGGGTAAGAAGCATTTAGTGTTTAAGCTCCAAAAGTGTGTACCCATTTATACTTCATCCCTGCTAAATATGAGAGTGGTTATTTGCACACAACTTTTCAAAATCCTTCAATTTTGCTCTTATTAATCTCATATGAAAATAATAGGTCTTGTTTTGTTTAAGTTATATCCCTTGATTATTTGACAGGTCAACCAAAAAGTTTTTTTTCTTAGATCTTAAGGGATTTGCATGTTGTTTTGTGGGTGTGAATTCATGACCTTTACTCCATTACCTCATTGGGGCAATAGATTTTTTTTCCCACCATAAAGACACTCATCAAGGATTCTATGTGTTTTTCCTGTGTGCTGCGGCCTTGCTTTGGCTCTCTGTAGACCCACCTAAATATAATTGTTTTCCTCAGACTGATCTTAGTTTCGTGATCTAACCCACGCCCTTACCTCTTCCATGGGTAGCCTCACGTGTGTTTGACTCACCTAGAATCAGGAAGGGTGAATTTGCCACTATGAGCACGAATGGCACTCCGATCGCCAGCATCAGGCCAAAGCCACTCACGACAGCGATGATTGCAGAAACCACTCCAAACGATGCAACCCACATTTTGTTTCGCACACAGTCAAGCCTGCCAAGTAGGAGGGACACAGTGTGGAATTTGTGGTGGTAGCTTCCACCTGTAAACTCTACCAACCCCTAACATTCTTGCTTTGAAGCCCTGTCCAGAAACCTGGAGGGCCCAGGCTCTCTCCTCTATCCCCACCATGCTCCCCTGTTGGAAGAATCTATCACTTGAGATCCAAAGGGCAATCATAGAGGAGGAGGAGTGGAAACCGGAAACTCAGAGAGGAAGTAGGATAAGCGATGGTCTATCGAGGGGAGAGCGACACACAAGGTGAAAACAAGATGTGTAGGAGCTGTCGGATGGAGCTGACGATCTGCTCCATAAACTTCCATGTAATTCACACTAAAATTCTTTTAAAAAAAGATCATGCCAGAAAGGTGACTTGCAGTCAAATAGCGAAAGGATTCTTATGCTATTCAAAAGAGTTTATACATTGTCTAAAAGTAGCAGGTTGGCCATTAAAGGATTATAAACATTAAATTGCCGAGCCAAAAAAGAAATAAAGAAGCCATGCGGGCAATAGTTCTAACATTTGACTCCAGGAGACCTTTAATCTCCATGCCCCAAGTAGCACGGTAGCCAAACTCTAGCTCAGCTATTACCTAACTCAGCAGTTCAAACCTACCAGCAGCTCCAGGAAGGAAAATCTGCAGATATTCTAGTTCCTAGAAGGACTTTTGCTTAGGTAGGGGATTTCAGCTCATAGTGGCCCTACAAAGGACTTGTGGGGCTGTAAATCTTTATGGGAGCAGATAGCCTCAACTGTCTCCTGAGGAGTAGCAAGTGGATTTGAACTTCTGACCCTGTGGTTAGCCATTTAAGACTTACCTGACAATGCCACCTGGCCTCCTTAATGAGTTCATCAGAACCACTTAAAGAAAGTCTTTAAAATTTACATTTCCTGGGAACTAGTCTTACAGATTCTGATGCTGCAGAAGCTACATGTTGACAATTTTCCTCATACGAGTCTAATGTTTAAGCATTAGCAGCACCGGCAGCAAAGTAGTTCATTTCCGGAAGTTTCTTCTTACTACGTAGGGTTAAGTAGGGCACATTGCACTTTAACTTTAAAAAAAATGGTGTTGTGTCTGATTGGCAAAAGCACTCCATCTTTCTTGAAATGTAATGGTGTCTACCATGCATAAGACAAAGATATTTGAGGAAGGCAAAGTTTTCAATATTTCATCAGAAGTTCCAATGATCTAATACGTGGTATACCTTTGGTAAATTTCTGAACTGTCAGATAATTTTGAAATGCTCTGGAAGCTCACTATTGCACTATTTGCTTTAAGGCAAAACAAAGTTCATTTTGGAGGCAAAGCTTTGGTCAGAGTTTTACTGGTCTTCACTCCAGTGTGCCTTAGTAAAGACTCTACAGAAGGTACCGCACGGCTTGCCAGGCATCAACCTCAGAGCTAAATGCGTACGATGGCAATACTGTGTTATCTCAAAGATTGTGTAAGTGGTGCCTCACCAGAAAAAGGTGAGACCCTCAGGATAGCAAAGGAAGGGCAGTGAGAGACTTCCAAGGCCCCTAGAGAAGTACCCCTACCCTCACCCCCAGGACACCCGGCTTTATCCTCCAGCTCAGACAGGGCATGCCTCAGATCGCCCTGCAGCATCTATGACTCAAGAATCTTGCTCCGTTTCCTCCTCTTGAGCATCAGGAATGGTGGTGGTTGTGGTGTTTGCTGCTGCTGCTGCTGGTGGTGACGGTGACAGAACAACCCCAGTAAATAAACCTCCTTTACTGACTTAAGGGCTTATCACAAGTAGCATGCAGCAGCTAAGGGGTTGGGTGGGAAGTGGGAGATTGAGCGATGCCCAAAATTTAAGTTCAATTTAACTGACCACTTTTTTTTTTAAACATAGACCTGAACATTCCAATCACAGGACTTTACATTATGCAAAATGGCTACAAAATTGCTGAAATCTACCTGAGTTTTCCTGAAAATTGCAAAGGGGAAAAAAAAACTATGCACAAAATTTAAAGGGAACCCAACCAAAAACCAAATTTAGTGCCATCAAGTCATTTCTGACTCATTGTGACTCTATAGGTCAGAGCAGAACTGTCCCAGTGGGTTGCTGAGACAGTAACTCTTTACGGGAATAGAGAGCCTCATCTTTCTCCAGTGGAGTGGCTGGTGGTTTCGAACTGCTGACCTGGTGGTTAGCCCAAAGGGCAACCCGCTTGTTATGCCACCAGGGCTCCTAAGTAGACATACAATAGAGTTGATTTATGTTTATACCTCCTGTTGGTCACATCAGTCTAAACAACCCTTCACCAGATGACTGTAAATCATTTTCTAATTGCCTCCAATATTAGGTAAACCGTCTGCATCTTTGTCCACAATCATTTATGTAGATTAAATGATAAATCTGTATTTTTCAGAACACTGTATCAAATAAAAAAGTTTTGTCAAATCAATTATTGGTGGATTTCAACTTCTAGGTACCCTGTAAGACCCCCCCCCCCCACTATGCCTTCCAAATCAATGAAACTGAGTTCCGTTTGCGTCTTTATGTCTAGCTCCTTATTTTCCTGGTTTCTTTGTTTTCTAAAGAATATAGTTTGCTTTTGGGGGGATAATGAAATTGAGATAATTTACCAGGGTCTCATCTTTCTTAAAATCCACACAGCTAAATTCTGGAATCTGATTCTAAACACATACAAATGAGGATATCAAGAGAAAATAAACATATATTCCTTGATTTAACTCTCAGATATGTTGACTCAGGAAAATAGGGCCTGATAATAGATACTTTAGGGTTTTAGAGGCGATGCTGACATGAGTTTGGGGGGAAAAGCTTCAACCCTGTGGTTCCTTCTACGTTTGTATTCAATGGTTTGCTGACCGTGTTTATATTTTAACTTTCTAATCTTGATCATAATGGGGCCCTGGTGGTGTGGAGGGTTATGCATTGGGTAGAAAACTGGAAGGTTGGCAGTTCGAATCCACCAGCAGTTCCTTGGAAGCAAGATGAGGTTTGCTACTCTTGTATGGATTTACAGTCTCAGAAACTCACACGGTTTTACTCTGACCTGTAAGGTCACTATTAGCCAGAACTGGCTTGACGGCAGTGACTGGTGTGCGTTTAGAATCTTGCTTGTGCAAGCTCAAAGGAAGCCCAAGGCCTAGACGAGTGACACCTTTTAAATGCTCATCAAGGCACACTTCACCTTAGAACAATGGAGACATCAAAGTCAATTATGGCAGAGCTTCTTTTATTATATAGGTGCCTTCCACAGGGAACAATAAGATAAAATACATAAGGCACAAAAGGATCTATCAAATCAAATGGAACTCACCACAGTTTCTATCTATCATTCTGTTAGACTGTATGTTACTATTGCCCAAGGGGCTGAATAAAGGATGTCACCAGGCTTTAAAGAGAGTTAAACAAATATTACGAAGTGTTATTATTTTCTTACCTGTAGCATGATATGATGGCAAATGCTATGATTAGACAGTAGGTCAAGTGAAACAAAGGGATCACTTTTACCGAGGCTTTCTTAAATTCCAATTGTCTGGAAAGTGATGTAAAGTAGACTACCTGCCACAGAAATATGCTCATATAAATAACCTTCAACTCTACTGTTTGTGTGTGAATTACAAACACTACAGCACTTTGTTGATGGAAATAACATGTCACTATCGAGGAAAAGATCACAATACGTAGGTCATGGCTTTAGAATTTAGATTATAAAGATGGTGATATGCCTTTGCTTCTTCCTAAAGATCCTTAGCATGTTTCCCAAAATTTCCCAAAGACGTTGATCATTCCTGAATATACAGATTTTTCATTTTATAGAAAACTATGAAACCTGGATCACATTCTTAACTGTAGAAATTAATGTTTTTTCCCCTTTTAAAAATTAGGGTGGCAAATTTGACTCCTATAATTTCACAGAGGCTTAGTATTCAAAGGCCTTTTGCATCACAGACGTCACTTTGACTAGGCTAATTGAGAAGTCCTCAGATTGTCGGCTCAACTTTCCCGCACGGCCGGGCAGGGTGCTCGGGGCTTTCCCTATGATTCACTTGGAACGTATCCGACCATATGGAACCAGCGCTAAACGACCGTATTTCTCGCTTAAGCCGTAGTTCGTTCTTTCTGAACACTCCCAGAAGCCAGGGCGCACCTCAGCTCGAGGACCAGAAAACCCAACCTCGAAACTGAACGTGGAGATGGACGTCTCTACAGAAGCAGGCCTGCTCAGAAGCACGCAGTACTGAGCACGTGCCTACGGATGTAAGACGTGCGCCTTCTTCGCAGAGTGCCCTACGCAAGTGTGCACCACAGTCAAGTGCAGCTCTAAGTCCAGGGGACCACCCTCCCACACCACTGTCGGGCTCCCGTCCTGGCAACAAAATGCTCACCATCCCATCTCCTCCCGGCTTCCCGCTAAACCCCAGGCGCCAGGTACCTCGGTCTTCTTCAAGATCAGCCCTTTCTTCAAGTCGCTGAACTGCTCCAGAAAGTGCTTCAGCCACGTCTTGCTGTTCTCCTTGTCCACCCGCTCATCCGTCAACAGGAAATACTGCAGCCGCAGGGCTTTGGCCAGCAGGATGACGCGGTTGTTGCCCCTCCTGTCCCCTAGGGTGATCCCTCCGATGGTGCTGGTCAAGTAGACGGCCTGCTGGTTCCGCTCCAACGCCGGAAACGTGAGGTCTGCGAAGTTCAAGCCTGGCTGGTACTGCCAGGCGGCCAGCACGGGGTTGGCGGGCATGCAGCCCCCCCGGACCTTGGCGCACACTTGGCTGTAGGGGATGGCGGTTCCGTTTGGCGTGGTGGCCACCAGGGCCTGCACCGCCCTGTCCACGGTTCTAATCTCCTCGAAAGCGTCTGATTTCAGCAGCGAGGCGGTGTGCGAGACCACCAGGAGGGTAGCGTAGTGGACTTCAGTGCTCTTCCGGATGGCAGAGAAGTTGGGCGGGTCGATGGTAAAATGTCGCTGCACGAAGGCCCGGTCCTTCTTGGACGGGGTCCCCACCGGGGAGTACTGCTCCTCCATGTTTTCTTCTTTGTACTTGGGCAGGTGGACGAAGCCCACCGAGAGGAAGACGGTGGCCATCACGGGCGCCAGGAGGAAGAACCACGGGTAGGAGCCCACGGCCCAGCCCAGCCGCTGGAAGAACCTGTTGAGCGGCGCCTCGAGGCAGTCCGTGTGGCAGCGGCCGCGCACCGGCGCCTCCGACTCGGACGAGCTGCGCCGCGGCGAGTCTGTCCTCCCCGGGTTCGCGCCCCGCGGCGGC